ATGACTTTGGCCTTAAAGCACATGCTCGTGCCCTTGGAAGTTTTCAGAAGCAGGAATTCCTGGGGCTCATCGGGAGCCCACTGAGCGATCAATGTCAAGGGCAGGACCCAAGATAGTCCTTAAAAATAGTTGTTTGTGCCACGGGTGGTGGTGCACGCCTTTAATTCCTGCACTTGGGAGGCAGAGACAGGCAGATCTCTGTGAATTTGAGACCAGCCTGATCTACAGAGCTAGTGCCAGGACAGGTAAGACTGTTACACAGAAAAACCCTGTCTTGGGGAAGGAACAACAACAACAAAAAAAAAAAACAAGAAAAATAAATTGTCTCATTTGTGTGTGTGTGTATAAGAGAGAGAGAGAGAGAGAGAGAGAGGAGACAGACAGATAGACAGACACGGGGAGAGAAAGAGACAGAGACAGAGTGTGTTTGTGTCAGAAGACAACTCGCAGGAGTTCTCCCCTCCACCATGTGGGTTCTGAGCACCAAACTCGGGTTGCCGGATACGGCAGGAAACTCCTTCACCCCAGCAATCTCACTTCTTCTTTTGAGATGAGGTTTGGCTCTGTACCTCAGGGTAGGTCACAGTGAACTTGCTATGGAGCCCAGGCTAGTCCTGCTACCTTCTAACAAGTTTCCCAGACGAAGCTGATGTTCCCAGCCTAAGGACTGGCCCTCATTTGACCACACTGCCTCTCCAGGAAGTCCAGAGCCCTGACCAGAAGCCAATAATGAACAACCATTGCTCCCAGCAGCTTCACCTCACCCCCATCAGCCATATTCCATTCATTTAATTACTCTGTAACTCTAGTACAACACAGGAAGCCCTCGGCCCTTTGACCACCTGAAGGACCCAGATCAGGCCTCTAGCATCTAACCTAACCGCTCAAATGCAGAGGAAGGGGAAGAGAAAGTAAAACCACAGGTGACATGGAACCTGTGTCACTTCCTCTCACATCCTGCAACAATCCTGTAGGTCCCCGGAGAGCATGGTGCCTCACGACTTTAATACCTGCACTTGGGAGGCAAAGGCAGATTGTTCCTGGTGTTTTTCTGAGTTCAAGGCCAGCCTGGTCTACAGAGTGAGTTCAGGGCACGCTCCAAAGCCACAGAAAAACTTGCCTGGGGAAAAAAATTCAAAGGGTGTCTGGTTTGGCCACTAGATAAAAGAATAAGAAGCTGCAGGGCAGTGGAGGCTCACGCCTTTAGGCAGAGGCAGGCAGATCTCTGAGTTCTAGGCCAGACCAGTCAATCTACAGAGCAAGTGTCAGGACAGTCGGGGCTACACACACAAAAAAACCCACCCCCCCATAAAGGGGTGGAATTCAGCTGTGCCTCAGTCTCCTCTTTGGGTTGTTTCCTTTGAGAATGTATCAAGCAAGCCAGTGGCTTTAAGTGTCTGCTTGGTGAGTAATAAGGCCAAGGTCAGAGGCTGGGCTTCAAAGAAATATAGCACCCCTACCCCACCGTCTTGCCTCCAGGGTCACAGACAGGACCCCAAAATCCCACCATCTGGCTATAAAAGGAAGCAGCCAAGGTGTAGACAGATCAAAACAAGTCCAATGTCACTCATGGAAATAGCCAATTGGGGGAGCAGTGATGGATGGTAATAAGTGGGATCCTGCCGTTGAAGGGTACCCCACCAAAAAGGACCTCACAGTACCTAATTAGTTCCAGAAAGGGGCTTTGTTCTCCTGCAGGGAGGGTCTAGCTAATCACCCTGAGCATGAATTACTTGTAAGGTAACTGGACCCAGAGCAGACCCCGCTTTGCATCCTGGTGGCCTCAGTGAGCACCCTTGATCTTTCGACCCCACGCGCATCAAATTGGAAGGAAGCTGGGGGCAAACCTGGGAACCCAGGGACCCGGTGTGGCCCAGGCAGCCAGTCGTTCAGCCATTCCTTCCTTTCCTGTTAACTTTTTAACCCTACTCGCCAGGAAATGCTTAAGTGTGGCGCTGCCCTCCCCCCCTTCCCTCTGCCAAATTTAACTGAGTTCTCACAGAAAAGCATGATAGAAGCAGGCTCACAAGCTGTGTGGTCAGCTAGCCGGGGACAAGGGCTACGGCAGAGCCTTGCTTTGCTGTTTGGAGCCACACAAGCCCAGGCCCAGCGAGCAGTTCCAGGACCCTGTCTACAAGAGCTTGTGGACTGATACACCGAGCATGTCCTATACCCCTACGCATTTCCTACCAAGTAGGAGTTTTAGGAAATTCAATAACCTTTGAGTTTCAAATAAGTAATGGATAGCTCAAACAATCTTACATTTGGAAAAGGGCTCTTGGGCAATAATCAGACAATGTGAAAAGAATTGTCAGTAATAGCACCCTTCAACAGGAAGAAGAAATGAGCCACAGATGTACTTCTGAGTTTTTTTTCTCTGTACTAGAGTTCAAACCTCGAATTTACTTCCACTTAACAGTATCCTCAGCTGAGTCAGGGTCTTTCGCAGCCCAGGCTGACCTCACACTGCTAGGTGACAGCAGCTGGCTTCAAATTCCTGATGCTTCTGCCTCTATCGCCCAGGTGCTGAGGTGACAACTGTGGAACTATTGTTTTGCAGCTACAATTTAAAGTGTGAAAAATAAATAAAGTGAGCCATACATGGTGGCACGTGCCTGCAGCCCTAATACTGGGGAGACTGAGGCAGGAGGATCACTGTGAGTTTGAGGCTAGCACGGAGAAGTAAACTCTAGGATAGCCTGGCGTACAGAGTAAGCCCCTGTTACAAACACACAAGCCCTTAATAAATACCCTTAATAAACCAGTTAAACTGCCATCTCAGAAAAAAAAAATCGTCATTTTAACTAGTTTTGCCAGATCTATCAACTAAAAATACATTTTGCCTAGACTAAACTTCAGATGAGCATGATCTTTTGGACATAAATATATTTCATATAACACTGGGGGATCACACCTAGACGAAGAATTTGTTGTTCATCTGACGTTCAGATTTTGCTGGGCATTTCTTTATACAATGAAGCAACATTAATTTCAACAGTATGGAAATTAATAACATCTTTCTTGGACTGCCTTTGTAATCTGCTGCATACCTACCCATACAGCACCTTTCCATGTGGGCAAGCCATGTTTCAAATGCCGGTACTATGTGACTGGTGACAATGCCTAGAGGTCTAGAAAGTTCTTCTCAGGGTCATTGATAATGGAAAACAAAGTCAGAAATGAGCAGAGCACCCTTTGGAATTACCTGACAGCAACGCTTCATTGGGGAGGAAAGCTAAGGCCTCATGCGTGCGAACCAGGCGTAAGCAGGCACTCTACCACCAAGCTGCACCCAGAGCTCAGGTAACCTCTGCTTTTGGCTTGCAGCTGGGGAGCCAACCCTAACACAGAGTCTTTCTTCTGACACCAAATGTTCTGACACTGAGCCAAATCTCCAGTGCTTAATTTATTTTTTTAAATATTTATTTATTTACTTAGTATACAATATCCTTTCTGCGTGTATGCCTTAAGGCCAGAAGAGGGCACTAGACCTCATTACAGATGGTTGTGAGCCACCATGTGGTTGCTGGAAATTGAACTCAGGACCTTTGGAAGAGCAGGCAATGCTCTTAACCACTGAGCCATCTCACCAGCCCCCTTAATTTATTGAAATAGGGTCACTGTATTGCTCTAGCTGGCCTTGAACTAGCCATGTAGTCCAGGTCTGCTTCCTTCTGCCTTAACTCCTGGAGTGTGTGTCACCAGGAGCAACAGTAGGTATCATTTAGAGCAGTGGTTGAATGACCTGGTACCTAATGTAAAGGTCTGTTCTGTCCCTTTAAGAGATAAGCCCCGCCCACCCCCACCCCCACTGAGGCAGGAAGATCTACTTTCCTGAGTCTCTCTCCAAGGAGGTAGCTGCTGCTATGGCTCCTCTCCTCCACCCTTCTCTGGTGTGCTCTCTCTCTCTCTCTCTCTCTCTCTCTCTCTCTCTCTCTCCCTCTCCCTCTCTTTGCTCTTCTTCTCCCTTTCCCTTTTTCCCTTCCCTTCCATAACCCACTAAATAAATATCCAACCTTACTCTGCATGGCGTGCTTACCCACCGGGGCTGGGGCTCCTCCTGGAATTTGCTGCTCTTGGTCTCTCACCCGCTATTCAGCTCCCTACCTGGGCTCCTCTGCCCCTCGTGGCCTTCGGGCCACTCAAGAAACAGCACTGGCTCCCTGCCTGGGACCCAGGTTACCTCCATGGCCCGCTGCTGCTTGTGGACCTGCAGCATTTTACTTAAACCATAACACCTAAGACCACCTTACACACCAGATATTTACATTACGACTCAAAGAGTAGCAAAATTACAAAAGTGAAGTAGCAACAAAAATAATTTTATGGGTGGGGGTCACTAAGACATAAGTCTTATATTCAAGGGTCATAGTATTAGGAATGTTGAAAATGCTGATTTAGAGGTTGCTGATTGTGGGCCAGCTCTTGTTCTAGGAGATTTAGGTGCATAATGACACTGAGTCCTCGGAACCATCCCAGGGCCGGCCTACTAATGAGGAAATGTACACAGCTCGTGCGTCTGGACTGTGAAGCGGAATGCAGGTGGAGGGGGGGACAGAGTGAAGCCGTGCATGATCTCCAGAAACCTTCCTGCCTGTCCCACCACAAGCCCTTTATCTACTAACTCATCTCCAGAGCCTCAGACATTTTCACGTTAAATGCTGATTCATTTTATGAAACCAGAGAAGTCACGCTAAAAGGGAGAGAATCAGTCTGTGGAGGGTCAGGGAGAGAACAAAGCGAAAGACAGGGACATTTGAGACAAACCACCTGACAGCAGAGCAAGCCTCCCTTCCGCAGTTTACAGGTGGCCGCCAGGGGCCACTGCCTGCAGTTTCCATAGCTAGGTCAGGGAACCCTTTATAAAGGAAAGCATTTGCAGGGAACCTGCGGGATGGTCTCCCAGGAGCCAGTGAAGAACAGCTCCAGACTCCCAACACGTAGGCTACGGAGAGAGCGATGAGAAGTCGTCTCCCACCTATGCGCAATCTGCCTCTTACCTTTGGAGTCTTCTTTGGCCAGCTGACCACAGGGACCCCAGTGATGGCCAGGCTGGGGTCATCATCCACATGTTCCTTCAGTACGTTCTGTGGCCAAACAAAGGATCCGTATTAACTGGGGGTGAAGGGAAAATCTCTAAGGAGGTAAAACTAACCCCTCGAAGGCTTGCAAGCTTTCTCACAAAGAAAGAAAGAAAAATAAATAATGAAATCGCTGCCTGTCACCATCTCCACTCTCTAGAAACCAAGCTACCAGATTTCTTATTGACTCAAAACACACAACACTCCTCTTCCCAAATCTTTGAGACAGGATTTCACTTTGTAGCTCCAGCTGGCCTGGAACCTACAGAGATCCTCCTGCCTCCGCCTCCAGAGTGCTGGGGCTACAGGCATGCACCACACTGTCCACAGCATCACAGACACACACAGTTACTTCGTGTCTATACTGTACGCTCACATGTGTGTGTTCTCCACAGAGAAGTCAGAAGCCAGAGAAGGGCCATCCACTGTCTCTCTCCTCCTCAGTCCTTCGAGGCCAGAACCTCTTGGGGGCTAGGCAGGGCACCGGCAAGTCCGAGGGATCCTGTCACTGCCCACCTCAGCCCTGGGATTCTAGGCAAGCGTAGGACCACGCCCCGCTGTATAGTGGGTGCTGGGCTCCCAGCTCTGTTCCTTGTGCTTGGGCAGCAAACTCCGGCAGCAGACATTCCTAACTGCTCAGCCTCTCTCCATCGCAGTCCCACTTCTTAGCCAGAGAAGCAGGGGTCTGAGCAGGTAGGCCCCTGCTACCTAGGAAATCAACTATGTTCTCAAAGACAGAAATAAAAGCCAGCCAGGCAGGGGGGTCCATGCCTGCAATCTCAGCTCTTGAGAAGAAGAGGCAGGATGATCAGGAGTTCAAGGTCATTCTCTGCACTTTGAGACCACCCTGGGCTACAGGAGATCCTACCGCGGGGGGGGGGGGGGGGGGG